GGCGGGGCGCCCACCCCCTGCCCACGCCCAGCAGCGGGGATGCCCCCTTCTCCTCCCCACGCGCTTCACCAGCAGCTCCCAGCTCTTACCAACACGAGCAGGGATTTCTCGTTCCTTGCAAGCCAAGACCACGTCTGAAAGCAGCGTGTGACGGCAGAGACTGAGCCTCGCTCCCTTGATCCTCAAGTAGGGCTTTTTCCTAATCCCAGTCCTTTGGGAGCACACAAAACCGGCCCTGTAGCTGTTCAAAGCTTGCTCAGCGTGGCTTAAACTGAAACCACGTTGTGAAGTTGCCACTAGAGCTGCATTCAACGTTCTTCTACATTAACGTAGCCTGATCTGCATCAGAACCACAGCTTTTAGACAAGTTCTAAGGCATTTTTTCATGTTTCTGAAATAAGCCAGCTCTGTACTTATTTTAGTCATCGTGGGGTTAAGTTTGCTGCTAACCAGTTGCTACACTGCAACTGAAAACAGTCGCTCCAGCCAGAGAATCTCCACCACCACCTTTGCAAACCAAGTTGCGTGGATTGCCTTGAAGGTAGAAAAACTGCTTCTGCTTTATCAAAGCGGAGGGGACCAAAGAAAACAAACCAACACACACAAGAAAAAGAAAAAAGCCTATTGCTGAGGTTCCCAAACCACAGCAAAGGGGTACGCTGACACCGAGAGCTGCTTACGCATGAAACGCTGCCAGAATTGGTAGGACAAAGCAAGGAATCAAAGTCAGGTTTAACAAATACAGACACAAGTCGGGGCTTAAGCTGCGAGGCTGTCGCATCTTAGCTTAGCCACGAGCACGATGCTGCTCGTGCACGCGAAGGAGAGCCATGCTACAGCGTCTGCGCAACAGTGCCCGTTTTTACGTCTCGCCTCCTCAAACATAAACCAGCCTTTTGTATTCCCAGCATCAGGAAAGGAAAGGGAAGAAATCCTGTTTTCGACAGCACAGATACGTCTGGGTTGAACAAGTATTTTTACAGTTCCTGCAGTCCGATTTCCATCCAACGGCGGTTTAATCTAAGCACTACTTCCAGAGTTGGACGGTGGTTTGCTTGCAGCTAAAAGCAGAGCTGTGCAACAGCCCAGCCACCTCTGCGGTGCGGCTGGACCGCAGCAGCTGGCTCGCAGCAACAGCTCCAGCTCTCGGAAAACATGCTCCAAAACTTCTGGTATTTCTTCCAAAAAAACCCCCGACCACCCCAACCTTTTACCACGCTAATACTGCTGCTAGCCTGTATTACTGCTTGACTTGTTTTCTTCCGAGCAGCTGGCACCGCTGAAGAAGTTTCTTCCTCGCCAGTCCACAGCATTTCCCAGGGGTGACTAAAATATGGAACAAGCATCCAGCTCAATGTTTGGCAGTTGAAGGGGCCAACAACAACAGTCCCAAACAACAGCATGAGCGAGCACACCCAATTTCAACACTCACTGCAGCAACAAAACACAAGGACTTCTCTGAAGTTTCAAAAAAATACGTGAGAACAAAGAATCAGATATGGAAACAAAGAGTTTGTTTAAAAGGCAGAAGATTATTTGAGGTTAGTGGTTTTCAACATGCGAATACCTAAGGTCTCTGCCAGGAAATCGGTCCCTACGTGATAACGTCACGTCAGCTGATGTGATGAACTTGAAATAAACTGAGGGCGGCCTTCCTCACGCTCCATCCTCCACGCTGGGGCCACAGAGCCTTCCCACCTCCTCTCCGCTCGATTTGGGATTGCTTGGACACCTCTGTGCCCCCTCCCTTACTTCTAAGTGAAGTCCCCAGGTACTGGGGGATGAGATCAAAGGTCTTTGTTTAGTGGAACACAGCCCCGAGCGCAAGTAAAGCAGGTCAGCAGCTTTATTCCTTTTCCCAAGGAGCCCGCGGCTTCCCAACATAGGATTTAAGCACCGTGGTCTGAACAGAAATAAAGTTTCTGGAGCATGGCAGATAATAATTTTATTAAGGAGAGAGGAATTTCCGCTTTCAGGCAGGGGAAGGAAGTGACACTGTGCTGTTCCTCTGCAAATCAACTTTTAAATAGGGTTGAGAGGGAAGGAGGGCGTCTTTGTTTGTTTGTAGAGGCCTCATCTGAGCCTTTGCTATTGCGAAGGAGCCTACCACGCGGACGAGCACCTCACAGCAGCATCGCACGGCAAAACCCCTTCACCTCGTGCTTCAGCACTCGGAACCATCTGCCTCTCGTGGCAAGACGTGCCCTTACGCAAGTGGAAGAAAATAAAAAGTCTTGAGATTTGGTAAGGTAAATTGGTAATACTTTGTTCTGTGTACTGAGGGAGAACATCAAAATGGTTGTGTACTCTTTCACATGACCCACTGGCCTCTCTGCCACATCCTCACCCCAAAAATAGGGGGAGCGTGGGGCGGGCGGATGGGGTGGGAAGAAGCCTTACCTGTTCCACCTTTCAGAATATCTGGGACACCCACACCAATGCACAGCTTCCTTTCAAAACCCCTATTTTTTCCCCCAATCCTAAACACAGGCCGTATAGCAAGATTATACTGAGGTCAGCGTGGGATTGATGGAACCCAACCTATCGACGCAAGCTCCGAAAGCTTTGCCCACAACCGCCGGGTGGTGGTGAGGGTGTCTCAGGCACACACGCACTCTGTAAATTCAGTGGCCCAGATGCCCACCACGAGAAAAGCAGTCACTTCACAGAAACCCGCCCACAGCTGCACTTGAAAGCCACCGGCTCTGAGCATAAAGGGCAAGCTGGGAGCGGTCAGGGGCAAGCAGAGCCAAAGACCCAGCTAACGGAGGCAACCGATTCTAAGAAAGCCTGGTACATCATAACCTACGAAACAGCAGTTTCACAACTTAAAACTATGGTCTCTGGGAAAGCTTCTGCTCAACGCAGCGAGTAGCAGTTCCCAGCTACCAGGACGCTTAGCTCTGACTCAACACACCGATACCCAAAGCAGCGGGAACAGCAGTTTTCAACTACTCCAAAATAACGGAAGAGGCAAATGAGCAGATTCCTTCCAAAGAATCCATGTTAAGAGCAAGAGGGGAAACGTCCGTTGACGTTTTCAAAGCGGTTTTCTCAAAAATCAGATGTGCCACCAAAAACCCCAGGCGACCTTTCTCAGAGGGCTGGGTGGGTTTTGTAGAGTCACTGCTGCAACAACCAAGATCCTCGTTAGGTCTCTGCTCCAGCCCTTTCCAGAATCCACCCCTGCTTGCCTTCAACGTGTTAAATCTAATTAAGGACAGAAGAGATAAGCAGGGGCGGCGCAGAGAATTTATGGATCCTCATTTGTAACTGAATATAAATCTGCAAACACAACCACGATTTGGCCAACAGTTTGACCCAGAATAGAATAGGCTGGAAGATCACTACGGGAATGTCATCTTGAGAGCCAGGCTTCCAGCCCAGCTCTCCTGGGAAGGGCTCTGTTGCAACTACTGGCATCTCAACAGTGAAAAAGCTTCAGAAATACAGTCACAGAAAATATTCACAACTGTGATTTACGAGACGGGCCTGCCGTAGCTCTTAAATGCATTTTTATTGTACCACTTAGTCCTCTACAGCCAGGCACTGCACAAAGCACAGCAAAAATGATGGTTCCTGCCGCAGAGTTTTAGCATATGGTCGTTCACCAAGGCTCAGTATCAGCCAGCACATTTTAGCCCAGCAAGATTTATTCAAACTTAACCATTCGTGTG